ATAATAAAAACGATAAAGAGTTAGAAATCGAGATGACGAAAGAATCATGATCGATAGGTGAGGGAAAGGTGAGGAGATGAAACTGAATAGATGGACATCATTCAATCACAGCTATAGGTTCTGCCTTTATACATGCATGATCAGCCATGGGTAGCAGCGGGCACTTCACCAATCAAGATTTTCATGTTGAAATATTTCCAGGAAAAGGTCAGTCCAATCGAGAACTCGCGGGGACTTGACGGAGAACCGACATATCGGTAGGGCACCGTTTTCTCGGTGGCGGGGACCGGTCTACGTGTCCGGGGAAGAGTCCCCGTCAAGGCGGGTTCGGCTCGGAAGCCGGGCAGGGCTCTTAGATTTTGCTCGGTGGGTCGTTCTGGCCGGTCCCCGAGCCCGACTGCCCGGGGCTCATCCTGAACTGCTGATGTCAACAACACCAATATTGGTGACAGGATGCGGGATTTCTTAAATTTGGTGTGATTTTTGAAAAGGCGCGCCAACCCCTGATTTTCCGAATTCTCTGACACCTGAGAGTGCCGCGGCGAGCCTGCTATCTGGTGCGCCCAAAGCGCATTTTTTGCGCCGCGCCCACAACCTGCCGCTCGAGGCGAGCGTGGGACTTTGTCAAGTTTATCAATCGGTCACGCAATAAACTTAACAAAAGCGGGGCGAAATGCATTATTTTTTAAAAATAATGCGTTTTTCGCATTTTTAAAAAATCATGTTTGTTATCAATTTCGCCCCTTTTTTACAAATGCATTTTGCAGCCAATAATCTATTATTTCCTTCCAAAACCTCGCATTTTAACACCAGTGCAACCCTTTGATTTCGACCCTCGGCAGGATCAAGACATCCTTTTTCTTCAAATTTCGCTAAGTACGACTTTTCTTTCGAACTTCAACCTCAACCTCGCACCTCACCTACTGATTTCTCGGATCCACCATTTCCCTCATCTCGTTTTCCTGACCTTCGATTTCTGGACTTCGGCCACCTCTTGCTTTTCATTAGTCAACGTGATGTCTGCGGAAGGTGTTAAAAGTCCAGCGCATTTTGGGAATGGTCGTAGTGAGTTCTTGTTACGAAGCCTTTTGGAGCAAGCCACCAACGGTTTGCGAGTGGAGAATACTTTCAAAAAAGAAGCATGGACCACGATTGTTGAAGATTTCAACAAGCGTTATCATGAGAATTACATGATGCAAGCACTCAAGAACCATTATCAATCTGTACGTACCTGATTGATAGATTTTTAAAGAATCAAGTGGCGCTGGTTGGGATGATGAGATGAAGATGGTAACTGGTTCAGAAGCTTGGTTCAATATAAAAACTCAAGTAAGTAATATTTCCAGATCATCGTCTCATCTGCTATATGCACTGATGAAATTTGTTCATCAGGGGAATCCAAAGTACAAAGCCTTTAGAAATAAAGGCTTTCCTAATTACGAGCTCATGCGCCAGCTTGAGGACGGTCAAAACGCCGATGATAAGATGGTCCGAGGCAGCCGAGTTCCCAAGAAGACACCGATAAAGCGTTATGAGCTCACTGCCGAGGAGATGGCACTCGATGATGAGGTTGTTGGCATCGATGATGCCAACAACCTTAGCCTGCCCGAAGGTGAGGGAGGTAGGTGTTGTACACATATCAGGAACAACCAATGGATGAAACTGATCATCATCATTGTTCATATACATAGCAATCTCGACCGATCAATTGATTGTTCAAAAGGCCTTGACTCAGGAAGGTAATACTACTACCACGCCAGTAGTATTACCTTCATCCCCTCCACCACCAACTTCACCCTCTCCACCACCTAAAGCAACCAATGCGAAGCAAGCTGCTCCTTTCTCACCCAAACCTCGCCCACATCAAAAGAAGACGGACCATCCGAGTAGTGCAGAAGCTTTAATGCTTCTTGCTTCAGTCAGCAAGGATAAGTTGGAGGCTAAGGAGTTAGATCGTAAGGAAGCTATTAGGGTCCGGGATGAACGACAAGCGAAAATCGATAAGATGAACCATGATCGAGATATTCAAATCGAGAGAATGTGACATGAAAGAAGGGCAGAATCAGAAGCTAACGCACTCGAGCGACTTCGCTTCAATGAAAGTCGAATTCAGGCCAAGGTGGAGAAGTATCCTAATCAAGTGAAGGCAATGGACACCTTTCGATCAGAAGTCAAAGATAATATCACAGACCCACTTGAAAAAATGAAAGCTGCTATTATTTTAAATGTTGATGAAAAGGCTTTTTTCTTCAATCAACTACCTGAGGATATGAGATGGGATTGGCTCAAGAATGAAATCAATGGCAAATAGATTTATCTTGTATCTACATTATCTTGTGATCTAATAACATAAACATCAAATTTTAATTCATCTCCACTGAAATTAAAAACATTTCACTTTTTGAATTTGTATCTAAAATGAAATCTATTTGAATATCATTCCACCCAGATTTCAATTCATCTTCACTGAAATCAAAAACATTTCACTTTGTGAATTTGTATCTAAAATATTCTTTAACTGAAATCAAAAACCTTCTTTGTGAAATTGTATCTGAAATTTTCTTGAGTCTATTTGAATACAAACTAAACTATAGTTTATCTCCATTGACTGAAATCAAAAACCTTCTTTGTGAAATTGTATCTGAAATTTTCTTGAGTCTATTTGAATACAAACTAAACTATAGTTTATCTCCATTGTCTTCTAGGATGAGCCATATATTCATCAAACATTGCCTGTGCCATAGCGTCCTGAGCAGCATGTGCCTCATTTTGAATGCCAAGATCTGGTTCTTCATAATTATCATTTGCTCTGGCCTGTGCCCATTCTGAATTTTGAGTATTCTCTTGCTCCCTTTGCAGCCGGTCAAACTCATCATAGAAATAGTCTTCTCCAGCCTCTTGTATTATATTGTGTAAAACTGCACATGCTACCACAAGGGAATATTGAACTTCCAGCTCATACCTAGGCATGAATTTCATAACTTGTGATCTCATTTTCATCACACCAAATATGCGCTCAATAACATTCCGTGCTGTAGCATGACGTAAATTGTAAAGCTCTTGAGGAGTGCGTGGAGCACGATTGCCAATGTGCCATTCTTGAAGATGATATCGTGTGCCTGAGTAGGGAATGAAGACATCTGGGTGATGGGCATAACCAGAATCTCCTAAATAGTATCTTCCTGCAAATACATTTGAATTAGAATTTCAACTCCAACTTTAAAAAGCATTAAGAGAAATTTTCACCTTCAGGTACGATGAAAGCACCGTTCTCACGGGCTTTGGAGATCACAAAGGAGTCATGTGCCCTACCTCCAATTCCAGCGTAAATAAAGAGGAACTTCATGTCAAAAGAACAAGCTGCTAGGACATTTTGTGATAATGTACCATGTTGATTTCGATGTTTAGATCTGTCAGCAAACTTGACCTGAGCTTCAATAGGGGTGCCATCAAGAGCTCCGATGCAATGTGAGAACCACGGATTAAGTTTTGGATTGTCGGCTATTTCGTCAGGTATTGGAGCTTCAGGTCCAGGTTGAATGATCACAGTATCAACAAGTCCCTCCAGAGCTTCTCGCACAATGTGGAAATATCGATGGATTGTTTCGGTTGAATGTTGGAATCGTTCCGCAGCGTGTCTCATTTCAAGAGAATGACCAGAGATGAATAAAAATATCATTACTTGCTCAGTGATTGATACATGCTCTGAAGGTTCCAATAAAGGCTTGAGGTAGGTCATAAGATGCTTGAAGGCATGCTTTTCCAGCTTCAAGACCTCAAGGAAGCGGACATTACTCCCTTCAAGGAGTTCCTTCTCGTAAGCATAGCCTTTCAGAGCTGAAGTCCTGCAAGGAACCTTGGCATAGCGCTGCTCGCGCTGCATATCTTCAATTACAACTGCTGCTGCTGCGGCCATGTGGATATCTGATTCGTCGGAAGATGATGATTCGGAAGAGGTACCGTCGCCGTAGTCCACAGGGTCGTCGATCAAATCTTCAATGGAGGATGAGTACTCGATAGATGAACTCATTGAATCCGAGTCGTGCGAGTCGGACAGATCGGACATTTTGCAGAATTTTGATTGTGAAAGATGGCGAGTGGTACGTACCAAACGCCATCGAGCAAAATCTCGTTTGAAATGCGGCTTTCGGCGTTTACATCTTTTGAAACGCGATTTCAAAAAATGATAGATTTTACAACTGCAAAATCTATTAATTATTAACGCATTTATAAACGCTGAAATCCATACCAAACAGGGCCTTAGAGCATCCAACGCGACTCTGTAAACGTAAGTTTAACGTAGCCATTTAGACATAAACGTAAGCTGTAATTTACGTTTAGCGGTTTGGCCACAAAAACCAACCTCCAGCGCGCACATGATTTGTCACAAGTTGCCATGTGTGTGATCCCTCGTTTTCAGCTTCGCGGTTCTCTCGTGTCAAGTTCTCGAAATCGCTAGGAAAAATTTGACGTTTGGAGAATGACAGAGGAATGACAGAGTTGCCGCGTATTGGACGAACGTGGTAATCTTATTCCCGCATTCAGTCGATCACAATCGATGATCACATCATCGATTGTGATTGATGGCATCTTATTATCAACTTGGAAGATAAGTATCTGGCATTTACGGCAGCCGCATAACCTTGGGTGGGGGCACCTCAGGTGCGCGTTGGAGGTAGTCAATTCTCAAAAACGAATACAGCCTGCTGTACTTCTTCAGCAGGCCCAATTCGGATGTGTATGAGTTTTACAGATACCGACTGCGTTGGAGATGCTCTTAGTCACGCAAGGTCAACTTCAAGGAGGCAAAGATTTCAAATTTCACGCAAGACTTCGAGTTGACGACTCTTCAGAGTCTCACGTTGAATTGCAGGTTTATATATAGCGCAATTACATATTACGAAATGATAACTTGCATTTTATTATGACCTCTTCGTTGTTTGACTTTGTCTCCCTCACATCGCAATATTTTCCTCACTACTTTCTGCACTTCGATCGAGATGTTGGCAAACAAGAATATTCCCTCGTTATTTATCATCTTTGTAGCTCTAGTTTTCTTCCAAGGTACCCTTTCGAATGCACAGCCATCTGAGCCTGAGATTGAAACGCAATGCGCTTTTCTGGATGTTCAAGGATCATATGATATCAATGCCGCTCTAATGGCCACAACAACGGACAACACCAGACCAAAAAGAATAAAAACAACAAAGGTTCAAAAGCAGACACTCACAGTAGGTTCTGCGTCCCAATAAGCTTATTTTATCTGAATCTTGTGTTACATTCACTGAGTAGACTTGTATTTCTTTGAAGTGGCCTGAAGCCGAAGGCTTGATAAAGCAGGGTCAACAAGTCTCGCTGGCTCCCCGAGACACTATTCAGCCAACCAAACCTGTTGTACGCTTATTTGGCCCCCACTCTCACCTATCATATTTCCTTGTGAAGTATTGACGCATTGGATTGCAGCGTCCGAGCGGCTTAAACTCTACGATTGCGAAAACTGCTAGAGTAGGTTTCTTCATGATTCAATTTGATCAAAATATCTTTCTCTAATCCTCATTTCATTCCTGCGTGTAGTTTTGTAAGGGCACTTTCGAAGAACATATAGTATGCATTTGGGTGGGAAATCAAACACGAACTCCGCCACTTCCTGGTTACAAGCCTGGGTGGTACACCGAGTAAGCGTATAACTCATCTGGGTAACCACCCTCGTGCTAGTTCTGCAGGCCACGTGATAGATTTAGCCAGGCTCAATTATAAGTAATTGAACATTGAAAACTGACATTTCAACCTTGCTACCCTTGCTGCATACTTGTGATAGAAAAAATTGCAGAACCAAGATGTACGTTGACAATCCATGCTATCTGAGATGGACGCCAGTGGTCTGACTCTATCCGCACTTTTATAGAGAGGTTTCGGTCAACGGCACCGACTACAAACCCTACACAGTTGCTGGGTTTTGTACCTTTCCCATAGAGCCCAATGTCATAAAAGATTGTGCGCAGATCGTTTTACCAGTTAGTTTTTTTGCTTGCTAAATTGCTTTCTCAAAAGACTTTCTAACCAACAAGGAATCCCTCTACTTCAGTTTGTTGATATAGGTACCCCTATCGAATGGAGAATGTTAGTCATCATTACTCAGAATTCAACTGCTTTCTCTAACTGACTTCTTTCCTATGAAGGCTTGACCCTCCTTTAGTCTAAGGCTACTGCGAATCCGTACAGGAAAACCGCGAATTACGCGCGGTGTGGGTTGAAATATAGTGGGAACCTTTGAAACACAACACCATCATTATCATGCAGCTCGTATGGGGATAAATATTTTATACACCATCAATTATAGCTTTATGGACTTTTTTGTAACCTCATTCACTTGCACCTTTTATCGGAAGTGAACAATGTCACTGGGTTAATCTTCTAATCTACAGCATGTCAGCATTTTCTTGTATGTATCATGAATGTGTATACAAGCCAAGAAGGAACAGCTTTCGCTCGAAGTTATACTACACATCATTAAACATCTCCGAACGGGAGTGAGGGTTTCGCGGCTGGTGGGGCTTGGGCTAAGCTAGGAGGATTAATTGCTCACCGGCATTGGGTGAGATTAAAGTGCTCCAGCAAGCTGCACACTCTGCGATGGAAAATAGTTTGCTGTTGGACGCGCGCGTTTTAAAGGATACGATATGAGACTCTGAAAACCTGATCACTTTTCAACGACAAACTTCAAAGTCTCCTCCCAGCTGTCATGGCTGAACATGCTCCAGCTCCCGGCTATGTACTTCCACACCCTTCTTTGTGGTTGGATCGTACTTAGATGCTGAGATTTTGCAAGTTTGAGCGTTTGCTCTTTTACTCTGACACCGGTCAACTCATGACGGCGGCGGCGAGACGGCGAGGCGTCGAGCCGCTCCGAGCCAGCTCTCCGGGGGCAACACGAGCAAGGTATACATACAATTTCGGTCACGCTAAACGCCTCGCCACTGCCACGATGGACTCCATTGAGTTTAGGTCACGCATCTTGGAAAAATCGATCAATTTTTATGTCGGCCTTCAGGCGTCTTCAAGCTCAAGTCTATGGACCTGTGAACGCTGAACTTGTCTTGAACGCGGCAACTCTCACTTTCTTATGACCAGTTCGTGATTGTAAGACTTTGCTTTTGATTCCCTCAAACCTCTATATCTTCATCACTGTTTCACAGTCCATCATGCTTCACAAATGACACATTCGCTGGTCTTGGTTTGTACTAGTTTGGAATTTGAGCTTCTTTACTCTTCCAATGCGTATTGTAGGCTGAGCTTGGCGTCTTCTCAAAGACCCTTTGCTAAGGTGCTTTTCAGAGCACAGATAAAATGTGAGGCATAAAATCGATGACGGACCTCAGATATCAACTGTAAAGGGGTTCTGCATTGAATCTACGAGATAAAAAAGGTTACAAAACTAGCCCAGGGTTAGTACTACTACCAATAAAACCCTGGTAAATCAATGATACGTCATCAAAGTAGTAACGATACAACTTGTTCTCGAGTATAAAAAGAAGTTATTCTTCCTTCCAGAAGCAGATTATTCATCTTTTTTGCCACTACAGCCACTATCTTTCGATTATCCAATTTCATCAAAGGACTCTTCTTTATCTTTTTACTCCGAATACCAACTTGAGAAAGTACACCGCTAGAATTCTTTTTTCTATTTCCAACTCTTGGAATATCCTTTTCCTCCTCCTCAAAAAGACTCTGAAGATCGGTCAGTTCTGTCGTCCTTTACTTTTTGATCACTCAAATTAACCAACCAACATCAAGTATACCTAAGACCTAATGTATCTTTATATTCTATCCTAGTAGATCATCAATTCATTCGTCACTTACATCAATATGTCCTTCAAGAATTATCTCACCATCGTTGTGATGTGTATCGCCATGTCTTTCTTTACCAACATGATCTCAGTCAACGCCATCGATTGTAAAGGTGCATACAAGACGGATTCCGATCACGCATGTAAATCACTTTTCTTTTCTTTCTACAATTTTATCTTATATCTACATAAACACCCTCTGACGATTTTTTTTTTCGCTTTGTAGATTGTACTACGGATGAACAGAATGTGAACACCCGCACTTGTAGTCTTAATAAGTGTAGTCATGATAGTAAGTTCAACAAAGACTTTGTCATCGAATCTGTCTATCTATAGCATTGTGACTTGATTCGAATCTGATTCATTTGATGAACTTAATGGTTTTTCAGACGCTCCATTTGTTGCATGGACTGGCTGTGTACCTCAGAGTGGAAACGGACCAGCCGTTTCACAAAACTGTGTGAACTATGGTTACTACGACTCAAAGAGTTACCGTCAGTATTATTATTTTTTTCATCGATTCATCTTCCAATTTGTTTTCTCTTATTGATCAACTTTTTGCTAACTGATTTTTATTTATCATCCGGAATTCTTTAGTCTGTAGCAATGCTAAAAGTGATTTTTTCATTTGCCCTCGTAAGTTTGGGCAAAAACCATTTATGTGTAAGTCGGATCTACTCTTATAAGTATGATAAAGTTAAGAAATCTAACAATTTATCTTTGTCTTGAAATATAATAGCATGTGACTGCTAAACTTGTTAAAAGGTTCATCTGAAATATTGACGGAGAATCATGAACAAGAGCTGTCTTAACGTAATGTTCGACATTAAACAACTTGTAAAATCTGATCAGGGGATCATATGGTTTTTCTACACTCGAGATACATTTACATTTGTTCATCTATCCTAGTCCAAACTCTCTTGATACCAATTTCATGCAGTTTGTTCAAAATCTTGCCCGTCAAAGTTGAGGAAATTGGCAGGAAATTCGTGCCAAGCTACATCAGGGATGCTGTGCTCATAAAATTGAATAGTTGAACTTCTCTTCTACGTTGAGGCAACTTGCTCAATTCTTCCATGTAAATACAAGCTTGGTTCCAAGATATGCAATTTCAAGCCTGCTATAGCCCATGAGTATGATATCGATATGGGGTCTGGGTAAAGGGGTCAAAGTAGGGCTGTGACCCGACCCTGCGTGTGACGGGGCCGCCCCGAGGCCGAACCCGGTCTCGAGGAGACCCGAGTATGTTACAAAATCTCCTCGGGGCAGCCGGGCACGCCCCGGATTTCAGGCCTTGAGGCCAGTCAGGGCCAGGCTCGCAAGTAAGTCACAAAAAGAGCGGACAAGCTCAGAAGTAAGAGCAAAACATGCTCGGAAAGGGGATATATTTGTATTTCAACTTCATGTAAACGTTCTTTATAAAAGCTTTAGGAGCATAGTAACCGACTTTGAAATGAAAAGAAAAACAATTTATAAATCTGATTTAAAACTTGAAAAATAAACAACTACTTGAGCTTATTCCAGCTCTTCAAACAAACCTGAGCCTCAAGGTTGGTGGGAGTAAAAGAGGCTCGGTGATCACTCATAACCCTCAAGGCATTAGAAAATGTGGACTCGGATGGAGCACTGGTAGCAGGAACAGCGAGCATTGCTCTCGCCATGCATGCTAAGTTGGGCCAGTGACGCGCAGCAAGATTCCAGTAGACAAGGGGTTTACAAATCTCGTCTTCTTGAGGGGCCGTTAAGTATTCCTTCACCTCATGTTCAATCGGGACAGTCTTGCGTCGCTTGATGTAATGCTGAGGTCGATCAAGTCGGATAGTTTCCTCAGGTTCCACAATCTCGATTTCGGGGTCAATAGTAGCCTTGAATAGGGTGGCCTGATCAGTGAAGTAAGAAACAAGATCTTCATGTCCCCAACCGAGGGACTCCATAGTTTGGGCTTTGACAGCGGTGAGCTTAAGACGAGGATCCAGGATGGCTGAACAGATGTAGACTGCCTTTTTCTGGGCAGCCTCCTGGTATCCGATGATCTTCTTTATCATCGGCATGATGGCAACTTTAAGTTCCTTACACTTGGAGTCAGCCCAGGCCTAATCAAAACAAGAGTTATGTTAGTAACATATCAAAAAACAAAGTCGAAAAAGGAACAAAAAAAAGAAAAAAACTTACATGTTCAAGGCGGTCAACGAGCCACTGGTAGTCAGGCATAACGAGAGAAAAAGTCGGGTATAGATGGCCTTCGATGGTTGAAGTCACAGCAGCTAGAGGAGATAAGAACTCAACCAAGTTTTCAACTAAAGTCCATTCATCGTAGTCGAGTATGAAACATTCAAGAGCTGGGTTACAGTTGAACTGGTACTCCAGGACAACTCTAAGCTGAACGAAGCGAGCCAAAGAAGAGTGGGTTGAAGACCAACGAGTTGAGACCTCGTGGACTAAACCGACTTTGGGAACAGTTGCACAGCTTGCTATAGCATTGTCGAGTGACGTTTTGAGTTGGCTCGAATGTTTAATCTTCCGGTGAAAGGCTCGAATTCGAGTGAGGACACTTGCTACCTCAGAATTCGAGGTATCCTCGACAAACAATGGAACCGAAGTGTGATCGTGTGGAATAGCGGGATCGAGAGCATTGATCACGGTAGGGGCATTCTTTTGATCGAAGACAGACAGTCCAGCCTTAGCCACGAGATTGATCACGTGGGCTACACACCCGTGAAGATGTTGGGAAGCGTCGAAATGGGGAATCATGGTGGAAAGGGTTTGACCCATGGTGGTATTGTTGGAGGCGTTATCGGCAGTGATGCAGTAAAGACGTTGAGAGATCGAAAATGAATCTAGAACAGCCTTGAGAATGGTGGCAAGGTTGGTACCGGTGTGAGGGCCTTCAATAGGCTTCAAGGCAAGTGTTATTCCACAAAGTTCAAACGTATCGGTTATCCAATGAGCGGTGACGCCTAGCATGGCGATATTGGTGGGAGAGGTCCACCCGTCGCAGGTGATACTGACATGAGAGACATTAGAAAGAAGATTCATGATCTTAGCTCGAGCTAATCGGAAGTGGTCCAAGATTCCATCGGAGATTGCTGTGCGTTTAGACAACAGGGTGAAAGCGTGAGGGTTGATCATATTTATGATCTCGCGAAATTCGGACGCATCAACAAACGAAACCGGGATCTCTCGGTTGACAACCATGCGGATGAGCGCATCCTTGAGGTTGGTTCGGCTGAGGGGTTTGACCTAAAAACAAAGGAAGATAACAAAAGAAGGGAAAAAAAAGAAAGGAAGAAAAGAATAAGAAAACGAGTGATGAAAAATAAGTTGAGAAGAGAATTACATTACCTTAATCGGCTCGCCATCGATGTAGAAGGCTTGGACAGTGGGTTGATCGGTTTGAATGGGGGCTACAATATGATGAGCACGCCAGAGATGACGTATCATCGATTTGGTACTAGAGTGCCTATCAAGAGCTAACGGTTTGTTGCAAACCCGGACTTCCTCGAGATCTTGGTTCATAGGATTAATAGCGTCGATGAAACCTTCTTGCGCATGACAAACGTTTTTCATGACGCCTGAGACTTCTTCTTGTATAAAGTAAGTCCAAACCCACGACAAGCGTTGGGTGGTGGTAGCGTCAGAAACTACGGAAATTGAATCAGAAGGGGTAATTGATGAAGTAGCAGCGGCGGAAAGGGAAGATGACTGCATCGTGCGAAGTAATCCGGTGGATCTGGTCACCGGGGTCGATCCAGATGGCATATCTTGATTGATAATCTATTAACTTTGATTATCGTGAGAGTTTGGTGAGGGAAAAGGGCTCGGGCATGCGTCCGGCTCGGGCGCCCGAGGCGCCCGCGGGCACTTTGTCTCTGTCATCCTGTTAGGTTTAATTGCCCCGAGGCCGGGACTGCCAGCTTCCAGAAATTACCCGGGCCCATTCGGCCGGGCAGGGTCGGGTCCGGGTCACAGCCCTAGGTCAAAGTGTAAGTGTAATGTGTAATTTACAGTGTAAGTGTAAGTGTAAGTGTAAGTGTAAAGTGTATGTACTAATTACTAGTGGGTGATATGTAGAGTGAGAATGCGATGAGTTGATTTGGTATTTCTGATTTCTGATTTCTGATTCGATTGTTTAAGTTTTCTATTTTACTTTACTTTTATCATCAGAATGGCACCACCTAAACATTCAAGACTCAATCAAATCACCAATACTTCAAACAAATCATCATCATCATCAAATCAACTTCAATCGACTTCTTTACCTACTATCAATACTACTACTACCGCTTCTTCATCTTCTTCTAATCAAAACAATACTATGATCGCAACTGAATCATTTGCTCAAGCTGTTCATTTAGTCGAAGGTTTTGCTGATGTTAGTCTTTTCTATCTTTTTAATCTATCTCTTTAAACTAATTAAATCTTTGGAATCGGATCACAGACTTTAGATTCGATCCCTCCTTCACTCACTAGATCATTATCGGATCTCAAGGAATTGGACGCAGTACTCAATACACCTTTACTTCATGTTCATTCTTTACTCGATCGTCTTTTGGGTTCAATTCTTAAACCAGAATCTATGAGACCTGACCAACGTCTTACTTTACTTCGATCAATTGTGGGTGAAATTGAAAAATATAAACTTGGTGGTGAAGATAAGATCAGGGTAGTCAATGGGACTTGCGAATCTGTAAGTTTGCCCGTTTCTTTCGAATCTTTTCCTAACTACTCAAAAATCACAAAAAGATTGACTATTTTTTTAATATACTTTTCTTTAGCTTTCACATCATATCAATCAATTAGATACAACAATGGCTTTAATCATCTCTTCTCTTCCACCCAATCTTGAATCTCGTATACCAGTCTCAACCCTTCCAACAGGTTATCCAAAACTAACAGGTTCACTTCGTTCAAAACCATCAGGTTCAGTTTGGTGTGAAAGTTCAAGTTCAACTCCTAAACATATTAGTCCACCCAACGTATCTGGACGTGAATTTGTTCAATTCGATTCGACGCTTAATCATTGTTCTCCATTAGATCAATTCGAACCTAATTCAAAACGACCTAAATTATCACAAAGCACTTCAAATAATCCACTTCTTAGACCATCTCAACTTTCGACTTCTTCTCCTAAACATCGTGCTCTAACCGAATCAGGTTCGAATTCAATCTTAGATCAACATATGTCAATGTTACTTTCTCAACAACAAATCAATCAAAAAAGACGGCTTCATACTAATCCTGGTGATGATCCTTCATCTACCTCTCGACAATTAACTTCAAAATCGACGCTTTCTAATGATCTTGGGAATTCGATCATCTCCAATACTTCTACTTCAAATACTAATGGTACCACTAAAGCTAAGCGTGCTCGTACAGTCACCAGTAATGGTGTTCTTCTTGGTGATCAGCTCGGTAATAGTGTCGGTCGAGGTAATGTTCCAAATACAGCTCAATCTCCTGTCGCAGCTGCGACCGGAAAGAAAAGAGTTAGAAAAACGTGAGCATCGTGTTTCATTTCTTAACTTTATATAAAAACACAAGATGATTGGAATGGAGCGAAGCTGACTCTTCTTCGGTCTTGCTCTCATCAGTACTGCTGGTTCAAATCCCACATCACTCAATCCCAATACCGAACCCTTGAAAGCCTCCCAATCCGATCCCAAACCGAACTCGAATCTATCACGGCTCAATGATCCTAATCATCCAAACCAAAGCAGTGGTGGGAACCAAGCTACACTTCTTCCTCCTACTTCTAAAAGAGGTCCATTAGGTTCTGGAAAATCTCCTTCATCCACTGATAGTTCGAAACTTGTGCCTACTACGGTTCATACTAAAAGACCGTATACTAAACGAGCTGGACCGACTTCTACTAATTCTAAAACATCAAGTACTACTAACCAGAAAAAAACTTTGTACGCTAAATCAGATGTCCAAAATGGTAAGTGTTTTTTCATTCCCAATGTTTCCCAATTCGAAACTTAAAATCACTGATTCAAAAACAAACTTTTATTAATAGGTGAAATCAATGGAATTGGCTTAGAAACTGAAACTGATTTAAGAAGAAGAAAGAAGAAGAAAAAGAAAAAAGTGTTAACTGAATCAGATGAGATTGAAGTTGAATTAGATCAAGTAGAAGAAGAAGTTGGATCATCTTCAGGTGGATCATCATCAAATAAAGTTTATTGTATTTGTGAAGGAGAAGTTTTAGGTGAAAGAATGGTGGCTTGTGATAATTCGAATTGTCCGATCGAATGGGTAAGTTCTTTTTTTTTCTGATTTTCGATTTTTTGGGGGGAGAGTGAACTGATCTTGTTTTTTCTTTTCTTTTTTAGTTTCATTATCAGTGTGCTGGACTTACGGAAGATCCTACGGGATCTTGGTTTTGTGATGATTGTAAGTCTAAAGGACATGCTACGAATCTTGTTTCTGAAGAACCATCACAAGACCTCAAACCAATAGAAGAGTCTAGTGGTCATGATCATGTTCAATTGAATGAAAAGATAAATGAATAAATAAATAGAACCATACCTATGAATTGGATTTTTTTGGTATGATTGGTTTAGGTTTGGATTGTAGAAAAAGACAAATCAAACTTAACTTTGATTATCTTTTTTATAAAGGTTTTCTCATAGATAAATCAATCAAATAGATGTGTACATTTTTTTCTTTTTCAACATGGGAAATGACATTTTTTTCTATATTTGATTATTTGATTAATTGTAAGAAATGTAAAGTTTTTGTGTTTTCCTTTTGGTTTTGTGTGTTTGTGTTTCAATTTGATCTTTTGTGTAGTACGTCTTTATGATTTTTTATTCAAATGAGGAGTATTTGGAGGTATGATCTTGATCATAATGAGAATGAGTTTCTTTTGGTGTGTATTGGGTGGTTTTTGTCATTGACATCCTTTTGAGACAGTCAGTCTCTTATGCTCAGAATGGATATTTTATCTCTATTCTAGAGACACTTCTACCTGTAAGCATTTACAGATCATACTCACTTGTGTGTGCACGACGGTATTTTTGATATGATGAGTTGAGAATCCAGAAAGTTATGCACTGGATTAAATATGAGCTTGATAAATTCTTGAATAAGGGATTAATCAGATATGAGAAAAAGATGAAAGAGCATGTTGAATCAGTTGAACACAAAGAGTATGTTAAGCTAAGTATACAAACTGTTTATTGACAAGACATTTCTTGTGTTACATCTCTACCACCCTTTCCTGCCTCATGGTGTGGAACTTGCAGGATACTTAGAAGGAACACTTTTTCTTTCCATCATCTTTTATTTTTCATCTTTATACCTGGATGATGACTTATTTGTTATGATAGACCTGCCTAATGACCACTTTCACATTTTTTATGATTTCTCACAGGTAAGGTTTCAATAAGCTCTGCCCTTCTATTATTTATTGTAACATTTCTTTAAGTTTATCATTCAATTTTCATCCCAACTTCATTTGACCAACAAACATTCTTACAGTTTCGCTATTTAGTCTTAGTCGGTACGAAAGAATTGTTTGCCCGCCGTCCAAATCCTACTGGCTTTTAAACTTCTCAAAGTCGATATACGTTTCAAATAAATCAATACCGAGGAAACGTGCGATCCACAAACTGAGCATAAGCCACTAAACCTCCCTCAAGATCATAAATTCCATCATGAGCTTTCATAGATTGTGCAGCCAATTGTGAATCATTCCCTCGTCGACAAACAAACAGAATTGGTTTTGCTTGATATTCTATCAGCTCCGGTTTAGCCAAAAGATCATTGATAGAAACATCTACAAAAACGTATTCATTAGTTTCATTTCAAAAAGTCTTAAGAGGAAGAACTTTGGATTTGTACTTACTGATGGACTTGGGAAGTGAACAGATTGAAAACTCTGGTGGGGGTCTCACATCGATAATCTTGAAATCATCAAGCTTTTTCAAACCTGTTTTCAATTCCTAAATAGGCGCGCGATGGTTAAAAAATCAATCAATTATCCTGGAAAGTGCTTTCAGAAAGACAAGAGCTTGCTTACATCTGCAGAGACACGTTCGAAACAACGAACTGTACCATCTGGTAAAGCGGATCTTCCACAGGTTTTAGGCTGGTGTGTTGAAGATATAGATTGGTTTAATTTATTGCGAAATTCAAGTTGAGCTGTTGGACTACATCCTCGACAATTGACTTGAGCTTTACGTAGTTTGATTGTTCGAAAGGATGGGACCAAGAGTAACTTTGGGACACAATCTATCAGATCAAGATTTGCCAAGTTGGGATTGAGAAAGAAAGAAGGTTCGAGGATCGGTTGAAACAGAGACCTGAGCATAAGTCGAATGCCTCGATTGGTGTGAGAATAGATTCTCATACTTTAGAGTGTAATGAGGACGAACCATGAGTACCGATCAATAATCGAATAGTTTCTAATGCCATCAATACCCCTACCAATCCCACAATCGGTCCTAATACTCCTTCATCTTCACATCTCTGCTCTAGACGGCTTTCAATAGGTTCAGGAAAGATACAACGATAGCAAGGCCCTCTCTGAGTGTCCGGTATAGGTAAATTCCAAACTGATAATTGTCCCTCGGTTCGGATTGCTGCTCCAGAAACAAGCGTGAGACCGGAAGCTGCACAAGCATCTGAGATTAAGTATCGGGTATCGGCGTTATCCGTACAATCCAATAAAATCGAAAACTCGCTTAAGGGTGGTAAGGATCCTTGATTAGTCGTGAGAGTTTCGGCTGAGAAACGGACTGGATAGACGTCAATCTTAATACCGGAAGAAGCTCCGCTAGTAATTAACATGAAATAACAAAAGATGAGTCAAGATAGAAAAAAGGAAGCAAATAGTACTGGTAATGGGTTTTTTTCACTCACGCTAAGATACCGATCCTAGCAGACTCAGCTTTGTTCATACCAACTGTTAAGTTGGTATGCAAAACCTGACGATGTAAGTTCGAGACCTCCACTTGATCATGATCTACAATAGCGATCCTACCTATGAAATCCAAAAATTTCAATCAACATCACGTTCTTTGGGCTTGATTGATTTCATCAGCAAATCGGAGTAGGAGTACAAAGAAGGGTGTACCTACGCCAGCCCGAGCAAGATAGAGTAAGGCAGGACATCCTAGTCCGCCAGCACCAATCACCATAACTGATGCATTTCGTAGGTTCAATTGTCCTAAACATATCCAAAAAAATGCATGGACTGTTCAGTGATTGTGATATGACTTCTAATATCGACATATCAATAATGACTCACCGGATAAACCAACACTAGATAAGATCATCTGACGACCAAAACGGGTGTAGTCCTCTAATGGCATAGGTAAAGCTGGGGTACTGCCTGAAGGCGAATTTGATTCTGAAGCATAAAGGTCACCGAAAGATATCATCATCCTGGTCCTCGATGACATTGTCAAAACTCAACAATAGTGTTTTTTTTGGCTAACCTGTATCATTTTGATCATGAGAATTTGTAGAATTGATGGTGTTCAATTTAACTTGAAGCTCTTTTAGTTTTTGGTTAGTTTTTTCGATTTCTAATTCGATTTCTTCTCTTGATGTATCCATTATGCCTCCTTTATGAGTTGTGGCTCTTGATTTGTTGGTGTTGTGAGATTGTTGCACCTCCGGCCGGCGACTTTTTGGGCCGTGAAAATTAAATTGACCTCGCGCGACGCGCCGGATCGGGTTCGACCGTTCTTGTCTTGAAATACCCGAGACACGAGAGTCGGATTTCAATTTCGTTCTAACAAGATCTCTCTGAATGAAGGGTCATCGAAATGAGAAGCCTTCAACCACTGAAGAAATTTATATCTTATGGCAAGGAAAAAATAATTGAACAATAGTGGCTCTCAAACCTGCCCCGGTTTTCAAAAAACCCAGTTGACCCAGTTGTTTTTTGGCAGTAACTTTGTGTATCAAGTTGACATTTGTTGACAACTCCCAGCCAAAAATTCAACTGGGGCAACCGGGTTTTTTGAAACTGGGTCAGGTTTGAGAGCCACTAATCATCATATGCAAACATGGAAAGGTTTTCCCAGATATTGAAATTTTTATTTCTTGTTGTACAACTGATCGCAGACATTGATGAACAATTTGCTCATTGGTTTACTCTAGTGCTTCACATTTTACGTTCTTTTTCCCGTACATCCCTTAAAACTGTTCTAAGCCATCAAATGAGTTCTTATCATTCCTAGTTGATTTTTTGGCTCTAAGTTGACTACGTAGTGAAACTGATCTTACAAGATCAGTTTGAAAAAAAAGAAATGCAAAAGGAAATTTTTATATGTTATAAATTATTGTTCAATTATATTATCATCTTGTACTCTACTAATCTGAACAGGTTCATCACTATCAACAGGTTTATCTTCTTGTGCTCTATTAATCTGAGCAGGTTCAGAATTTTCAGCAGGGTTATCTTCCTGTGCTCTATTAACCTGAAAAGTTTGAACAGTCTCAACAGTTTGAAGGATTGGAGGATTATTAAATTGGGTAATAGGTCTACTTTGAACACCAGCACCGCCTCCAAGATTAATTCCAAGACCTGCAAATCCAAATGGAAAGTTTAACTGAGCATTTGCTGCAATCAAAGGCTGATTCAGTCCAGTTTGTTGTATAGCTAGAGAGAAAAAAGAAACGCAACATATAATTGATTAGCTATGGCACGAGAAAAAGCACCTTGAAAAATTTCAACAAGATTTTTCACATACTTTGTGGTCTTATAGTGTTGGTAGTTTGTGTGATAGTTGTAGTAGGAGGAAGACCATTTTGTGTTGTGATTATAGTTTGAGGATTTCCTAATTGTAAATTACTTGTATTGATAGGTCCATCTTCAGAAATGATGATAAGAGAACAAGTCAGTTAAAATATTCTTCAAATCACACGTACCACAAAACTTATCGCTTGTAAAAGTCATTTTTAGCATCGTGTATGTTGTGATTCAAACTCACTTTGAAGTTGTTGAGTAGGATTGTTTGATGTCAGTCGAGGGGCTTGGTTTGTCGGAAGACCAGGCCCGGGCACTATAGGTGTGTTCGTCATGAGGTTTGTCGGAAGACCGGGACCAGGAATAAGAGTGGGATTAGTCGCCTGGTTTGTAGGAAGACCAGGACCAGGGATTAGGCGAGGTTTTGTCGCCTGGTTTGTCGGAAGACCAGGACCGGGAACTATAGGAGTATTCGACATAATAGGTGTGCCGCTTGGAGCGACTATTGAGAAAGATGGTCAGATCATTTCAGTCAGTCAATTGAAATAAAATTCATGGAAGATCTCTTACTTAGTTGTCCACCATTAATATCATTTTGATTGACTCGATTCGGAGTAGCCGTGTTGGGTAAGACTACACTACCAAGTGGGGTACCTTGTGGAAGACCCGTCATCAATTGTCCATTAGGTCCCAGAAATACTTGACCTCCTGGAGCTCCCGTGGCTACAAAATGTGTCAGGGTGAGTTTTCGTAACTACATTTGAGTTTCAATTGATGGATAATGACTGACGAGGAAGGGGGATTCCTGCTGCTGCGGCTTAAAGAGGGGAATTGATGCTTTAGTTTTACTGTTATATGGTCATGATAAGGGGAAGGAATATGTCGTACTGTTAGCTAACTGTGGTGTGCTAGCAGCGGCACCCTGTCCAGCCACGGGGGTAAAGGTAGCACCGTTGCTCACGACTGATTGTTGACCTATAAAACAAAACCTCAATAAGATCAATGGTTAACTTCAAGTTGATGAAAAAATGATTCATTCGTGAGATAGAGAATAAAAGGTAAAAGAGAGGAAACAAAGTATTCACCAGGGTTTTGAGGAATAGGTGATGTTGTGATCACGTCAATTGTCACCAGGACAGAGAAAGTGAAAGAAAATCTCATGATATCGAGATACGTTTGGGTATCTATAATCAGCCTCATTAGTGGACAGTACTATACCCAAAAAAATTCTTTCAAGTCTTACTCACATTAAAAACCTATTAAAAAGTGCTATTTCGACCAAGAGTCCAAAGAGCTCAGAGTCGCGGACGTACAAAACGAACTTCGGGAGACACCAACGTTGGCGCCTAAGACAAAACTGATGATACCTTCAAGACGCTGGACCTTGAGGATGTACTGAACTTACTGATACTGATACTTCTAGATACTGAAGGAGTCGAAATTCATTCGTTCGATACGAATGATGAAAGACAAGAAAGAGGATTTGGAACCAAGTACGTTGTCTCCGTACTCGTATGTCTACTTCAATCAAAAAGATCTAGTTAGAGCTGACTGGGATATATGCCTTGCTGATGACCATTTACAATGAATGAGGCAAAAGAAGCCAAGTAAGCAACGGGATCTCGAAAGCTGAATCAAGCGTTCCAATCTCTGACCAATGCCGCGTTGGTGAGGCAAAATTTGGCCAATTCTCTGCTTGCAACAACTAGCTATAATAAATGGTCTTCTCGTCATTCGAAGTTTGAAAGGGCCAAGGAAACTCAAGAACGAATCAAAACAATCATCCAATAAAACGACTCAAACGGTTTTGTTCCGTTTAGTCTATAGACACAGGCTTTGGGAATGGCTCTGTCTTGATGGCAACTTCTAAGAAAAATATTTCTCCGTTTCCGTCGATGATTTCGTTTTGTCAAACCATATTCGACTCTAGAGATGCTGCTCGTAGTATCTAGATTGACTAAATGTTACCTGAACCGTGGGGAGTGAATGTAGCGTTAGAAGTCCGCAAGTGTCGAATTAGTTGCTTGAATCCTCAATCACCCCAGTCCCTAGCAAATCGTACTTGAGAAGAAGGGTAATGATCATTCCAGGATATCTATTTCCCAGCCAAAATGTCACATTTGACTTGATCTGATCCATTAAGTAGATGCTGCGTCCCGGTATGTCCGAAGCTTGCATATCCCTAATGGAGATTTGTAAACTGAAGACATATTCCAGATTCTAGATTTAAATTTGAGGACGGTTAGATCTCTATGTCGACCCTGGGTTGAGCGACCATGCCGAGAGTCGCAAACTATTCTAGATAGCGAACTTTCGACAGGATTTCTCCTCGAGCGATTTCTGGGATCATCAGAGCTTCTCAGCTTAATCCTCTATTTTAGAATACTTGAAGTTATAAACGACTACGTAGTCCCTCCTGGATTTAGGTCAAGATGGTATCCTCAAGGCGCTCGGCTCAGCTTGGACTTTGGCGCGAGATTGTTTCAAAACGTCACGAAGAGACTCAGCCAGTCAACCGACATCTCGATTTTATTCGAAGGCGTTTCAAAGAACTCGAATTGCAAGGTTTTACTTGGTCCAGGGATTCGATCCTGGGTGTTTTTTTGCAACTTGGTCTACCAGAACGCAACCATGGCTCTTTCTCATCGGTCAACAGCATTCTGAAATCTCGCCATCCTTTTGCACCTGTATTTTCATCTAATGAAGTCATAAAAGCCATTCAAACTGAGGAGCTGCGACACAAGTCTCGTCCTCGGGGCCTCATGGATCTACCAATCGAAGTTTTCGAAAAAATACTGGAGACACTTGATTACACAGCAAAGCTCGAAGCTGAAGGAATTTATGACCAAAAGGTGCACGTAGCTAACCGCAGGGTTATGATATGTCGAGGTCACCGGGAGCCATACATTACCTACTTGAACCATCACTCACCAGTCTTAAACAGTATTCAGTCCTTCTCACTTACTTGTCGTGAATTTTATAAACTTTGTCAACCGTGGTTGTGGCGAGTGAGTCATCTGCAAATTAACTCACTACTGAAGGCATGCTTTCTAATCACAACAATTCCTCATCTCCATTTTCAGAAACTACAGTTTCCTACATCTCTTCCAGCACCAATAGATCTATGGACCAAAGATATTCTCCTCAGACAAGGCTCCCATGTCCAATCAATATCACTCATACTCTCTCCAAGCTATAGTGAAACCCCTTATGCTGTGATCAATACCTTCTCTGAAAGCCTTAGTGTTGATTTAGAGTATCTTCATTCAAGCAAGAGTATCTCTCCGGAAAATGTGAAGGACTTAATCAATTGCTGCCCTAACCTTTCTGCACTGAAGATTGTATTTCCACTCAATCAATTTTTTGAAGCCAAGGATACAACTGTAGCTTTTATCTCAGAAATATCTCCAGTATTCTCAAGTCTCAAAGCTCTTCGGGACCTGACATTTGAGGATAGAAATGAAAATTTAGTCACAAATGAATTCCCATCGCAACTAATTAGCTGTCTCCCTTTGCTTGAGTCACTCACATGGCACGGACTCACACCATGGACAATTGATTGACATGGTGGAAGTTTGTTTGGGTTTGAGTTATCCAAACTGAAATTCTTATCACAATTGCATTTAGTGGGATATGATGATATAAAGAAGAATTGGTGTCATTACAGTTGGCCAGGGACAATTACTGATCTCTCAATCTGTGGTTGTTGTGATTTATTACCAAGTTCAGCATATACAATTATTCATCACATTGCACCTTACCTCACAAAGCTCAAGCTTGATTTTACTATTTGGGAAGGTGATGAGAGTTGGGAAATTGATGATCACTGGAATTCTTCAATCCGCTTCTCTCTTCCATCTTTGGTTGAATTGGAGCTTTCAACCCGGAATGCAGACTTTCTGGACAGTTTCCAAGACTGTGAATCTCTAGGATATCTTAAATGGAACTACATGACATTAAAGCATTGCAGGAGGTTGAACAGGAATGTGATGAACACTAATTGGCCTCATCTCAAGAAACTTGATGTACATGGGTATGATGATTTGGGACTACCTGCTCTAGATCCTCCATCTCAAGAACTGAAGGATCAATTGGCTTTATTGAAAAAGTTTTGTGAAAATGTCAATATAAAAGCAATCATAACCATGCCTTATCCATAGTAATGATTGAAAAATTATCAGTGGATTTGGTTGTTAGTCAAACATCAGGATTTTACCTTGTCTGATTGATATTTACTATGTTTTTCCAGGATTGAACCTGAACTTCTTCTGCTAGTACCTAAACATTCTTGTATACCATGAATCCTGCCAGATCAACCTTCATCATCTTGCTTCATTATTTGTCCTTTGAATTATTCTGGAATCTTTGGGACTTTGAAGTCCAAATTTTCATATTTTTGATTACTTAGACCCTGAAAGCCAGAAGTACCTATAAAGTAGATATCTAGATACCAATACCTGGGATTGCTATGCACCTTACCTATGTATCAATATTGCAAACATTACAGGATTCAATGAGTGTTCTCTGGATGTGCTTTTGTTGGGTTCAAATTGTTGAATGCTTCATGGAAGCTGTGTTCTAAAGTGAAAGTGAAATTTTAAGATTGAACTTATAGAATGTAAAAAAGGAACAAAAAAATACACCTTGTCAAACTGAAACAGAGATCTATTCTCAATCAAAACTATGTAAGAAATTGTCTTATTGAGTTTGTAAGTGAACAAACAATGATGATTTTGAAGATTATATTTGTTCTCAACAAGTAGTCATATCATAAATTGTATTGTTTGAAATTCACTAGAGAAGAGCCTGGAATGCCACCACCACATTTGTTCCACATTACCTGAATTTATCAGAAATTATTGGATGTGATACCAATATGATGAAAATCAGTTCTTGGTTTCTTCAAGCAGAATCTAATACTTATGTACACCTCTTGCAATGACTGTGCAAAAGAGCCACAGCAACTGAAGAATCACAAATTTTGTAAGGTATAAGCTAAGTGCAAAGAGAAACACAAATAAACATGTGCATATTTAAAGCAAATATCAACAGACAGATTCTGAAGAGAAGAGCCAATGAGTGTCTTGAAAACATGAGAGTCTTTCTTGTTTACCAAATTTAGTTCCTTCTGGTGACATATCTGAATGGATCATTGGACCATGTAACTCTCAATCTGTCACAAAACAGGTCACAAAATGTATTTCTGTTGACTAAGCTAAACATCCTGAATATGCTACTGGAAAAAACCTAACTCAGAAAGCTTATGATCTTCAAAATCAGATACAACTTGCAAATAGCCAAACAGATCAAAAATTGGTCATTATATCTGTGAGCAATGTTGAATTTAGCAATCCCAACTTCTATACCTTGTTCAGGAATTGATTGACTTGTATTGTGATACATCATTGATCTCATTGTCAATGCTTGACCTCATTGTCAATGCTTGATCTCATTGTCAATGCCATCTTGCAGGTCCTTTTTCTTTGCATTGGTTAGTCTAGAGACAGTCCTCTCACAGAAAAGTCTTGTAATTCAGGGATTGAGGTGATTCCTTCTTAATCTTATGAAATCAAATTGAATTGTAACTTGAGAGTCTTGCACATCAGTGCTGGTCAACTTCTGAATATTTTGTGAATGATCTTGCTTCTTCTACTGATTATACTGCTTGCATATTTCAACCTTGTTTGATCATTGATGTAGTTCAACCTGGTAAGCTATGGCCTTATGTGAGCTATCAGCATGTTTGTCACATTCTCTCAGGATGATCACAATTTTTTTAGATTCTGGTTTCATTAAATTTTGAATTAGTCAATGATTGTAGACTTTTACCACATTGTGTTTGATGAAGGAAATTCAAAACAAGAATCATGATCCAAGATAATGGGATTGGTGTCAGCCCTGAGCCCTAATTACAGGACTATGGGCTAACAGTACCATATGTAATCTAAAATATTGTATAAAACCATAAGCTAAATCTCACGGCTCAGTGTCAAGAGCCACTTAAACACAGGTATGTAATGTATTAAATACATGATAAACCTAAACCAAGTGTCAATCACAAGTTGACACATGAATAGACAAGACTCACACGCCAACCACATGTTGACACTGGAACTGAGACTATATAAACCCCCCCTTCTTCCCTAGAATCATCCCCCATCTTTTACTACAATCACAACACAGAACCACATTTTACTTGACTCCTACTGAGAGGATCTTCAAGTACATGATTAGTTGTTTAGCTTGTTAAAGACCATTCTTGAGCATTACAGGTGCCATTGCTGAATACCCAAGGTACTGATTTCTATGAGCCCAGGGCACTCATTGTCTCTATAAATAAACCATAAATTAGCAAAGCTTCCTCCTTTTTAAGGAGTCTAAAGTAGCCTTCAGAATCTTTGGTTTACCAAAGTGTAAAGCCTTCCCCTCGCAGTCTCACAAGGTTAGAGCACATTAGCTCTTTATTGCCCTTATATTTCCTTTCCCTTTCTCAAATTCTCTTCTTAGAGGTCAACTAGCTGTAAGGAAGGTGCGGTCTTCACTTGGGTGCACCACATGAAGACCGCACTCTCCTTTTCCTACTCTATCTTCTGTGTAGAGTACGCCTAACAGACGCGCACTCCTCACAATTGGATTCTGTCTCAAAAAAGGTTGACTGAAAATAAATAGGTTCACAGAAAATCTTGAAGACTGATTTTACTGATAGGAAATCATTAACCTTATCTTTGTACTCTTTTTGATTTCAGAACAATATACCAAAATGTTACAAAAGAAGGCAAAAAACTGTAAGCTGCTTTAGCCTTACATCATTAGGGAGAAGATGAAATGCAATGATAAATATATGACAGGTTCAAGGTTAATTGTGCACATCTATACTGAAAGAAAAATTCAAAGTGTGGGTTTTCATCAGGTTAGAAGAAGCAGTGGCAGTTGTCATTGAGGGCAGAGGTTGAATAAATGGTAGGATGAGGTTATACAGCATTTTGTTTATCTTTGAAAGAGAGAGAGAGACAAGGAGAAAGATAAGGAAATCAGGATAAAGTGGTGAGAGCAATAAATGTATGACAAATGTTGAATTGCATACCTTGATTTTTGTGAAGGATTGAGATTGAGTTGTTGTGGGAATGGGATACGTAATTCACAAATGCCTAAATTGATCTGCCCTTTTATAGAAATAAAATTCAAAGCCACCACCCAAATGGATTACAGTAAACAGCACAAAAATTGAAATATGTTTTTGAAAACACACAATTATAGTCATAAGAAAGGACTACATTCAAACAATGAAGAAACCCAAAATAAAAGACAGCAGAACTGTCCCCAAGAGAACATCATGTAACCAGAAAAACTTAGATCGAAACAGCCCTCTTCATACAGCAGTTTCCAGAGCTTGGTTAAGCTAAGGGGGAAAAGCATACATGAAAAGCAAAGGAAAACAGGGCTCCAAACAAAACACCAAGACAGTTGAGGTATACAATGGATGATTTATTGAAATGAACAATAATCACAATGATGAAGGATGGTGTTCAACCCAGGCTCATTTCAAAAAAGGCCATGCACAATGAACATACCAGCCCAAGCATAAAAGTGTACAATCTTCAACAGAGATCAGGTGCCAAGAATGAATGAAGATGTAGGGTAAATAAGCTGCTTGTAAAACAATTGTTACAAGAGGCCAAAGCATAAAAAGAAAACCATAACAAAAAGTATAAGGATCTAATCAAATGAAAGAATAAAAAGAGTAAAGAACAAAAGTATGAAAATGATTCAATAATTGATCAAGAATAGAGTCAAGAATCTGGTTAAGAGTTAGGGAAACCAATCAATCACAAAACACATGAAAAGTTATACAAGAAGACCCATAACCAAAACTGCATAAATCACAAACCATCCAAACACAATAGATTGAATAAAAAATCCATTACTTTGAAGTATATAATAAGCTCCAGGACTCAAAAAGAAATAAGAAAAACCCCAAAACCAAAATAAAGACCCAGAGTACATACCAAGACATAAACAGTCAGGTCTTGATTGTTTTCCTAGTTAGTTTTAAGATGATGATTGTAAGTCTTGAAAAGTTCTCAAAATTCAAATATTAAGTGATCTTCAAGTTTGAGAATATGATCATAGACAATCTATTCAATACAATCCACACAATATCTTTCATGCCCCTGCCCTTGCCCTTACTCTTACTCTTGCTTTTGAAGAGACCAGAAACAGAATGCTCAAGTAATCCAAAGCTCTCAATTTCCAGCTCTACCCTAGCTCAACCCTCAACAAAAATCAATCTTCACAACTTGCAAGACAAATCCACACACCTTTCAAACTAAAACAAGACTCCACAATCAGATCGAATACCAAAACTACAGAAATCCAGTACAGGTGGGCGTCTTCTAATGGTTAGGAAACCTCGTTGTGGTCTAGGCAACTCCGTGGAAATATCGGTTCGATTCCGGTCGCCCACATTTCTTTTGGTCGATGTTAGCCTTCTTGGTCTTCACATTGTTCTGACTATTTTTTCATTCTTTTGCTACTGATATTCCGGTTGACACGGACTAAGTTATGACTTATAAGTCGTCGTACTGGTATTCGAAGGTATAGTAGGCCCAATCAGATCATTGTAGTTGGATTCATTGAACTGGTCAGAATAATCAAGTACTGTTTTCTTGATGTCTCAGATCAAGGAAGATTCCAACCGGATCCAATAACCTATGACCATGAAAAATATCCATTCAATTCGATTTCCCATATACCTGAACTTCTAATCTTTCATCCTGGTCTCATCCTTACCACTCACACTCACACTCACTCTTATGAAATATGTAGACATCAATCAGCATTGGATTTCTAATGACAAGAAAAAATCATTGATTTATAAAAAACACAAGAAACCATAGAAGAAGTAAAAAAAGAAACAAGCTGTAAACGCAGATCAAGAAGACCAAAGACCACATTTCAATTGATAGATTGATAGATTGATAGATAGATTTCAATTTTGCAAGTTTGTATAGTATTTATTTGATCAAAGAACAATCAAACCAAAAAAAAACAACAAACAAAAGGAAAAAGAAAAAAAACTACAAAGAACAAATCATCAGAAGTGGAAAAGAAGTGATTTTAAAGTGTAAAGAAAAGTGTATAGGTTAATACAGAAAAAAAACACCTCAGTCATTGAAAATATAAATGCTTTCTATATGTGTAGTGTCTAGAAGAAAAACACAAATCAGATTACTAGAAAGAAAGAGAATCACAAGAGATCCAACTGAACTGAACCATCTCGTCAAGTCTTTTAATGATAGATCATGAGGTAAGCGCTGTAAAGAAAGTTTTCGAAATACAAGACTTCTTGTTGTGGTTGCGTGATGAAGAAAAAACAGATGAAAGATTACAGATACAAGAGAGATATAGATGAGTTTGCTTTGAAAAAAATGATCGCTAAGGTTTTTTGCATTTCATCGTCACAACTGTCACATCCTGACCTTGTACTTTGATAGATTGTTGTTCAAGTTTCCGATACTCCTTCACTTTAGTATCACCACCGATAATCATAGCAGACAATCCACGTCCATAAACACATCCACTATCCAGTCCAGATGACCAAGGTCGAAGTGTAAGACCTTTAGCAGCCCAATGTCCATAAATCACATTCAAAGGTCCTCCACACTTTCCATCTTCTCCTACCGGTTCTTCACCCAGATGAGTTCCACATCCTTCCATAGCTTCGTTCCAAAGCTCGAACCATGGTGTACCTTTCTTACCAGAGGAAGTAGGACGTCTTCCTTTTCGTACTCCTCTCATTTCGATCAGGGTTAATGGATCTCTGTTTTGATCGATTTGAAGAATCGAATGTTGGACTTGATCGTCTAGAAAAGAAGTCGGACTCGCTCCACGAACACTTCTGGATGGATCCCAGGCTAACAAGCCAGCATGAACGAAATAAGTGCTACAAGATCAACAAAAGAAAGTATACACCAGATCAGTTGATGACACTTAATCCGCCAAACTCTGATGGAATGATATATAAATAACATACTTTAAAGCAGGCAGATGATAAGTCAAACAAAGAGACAAGAGCCACTCGAAATCCTTTCTAGGAAGTCTACGAGCGATTTCGAAATGTTGACCTTTCCATTTCCAACCCTTGGGTAACTTTCTCTTAAGTGAGCTGGTCGGTTGATCGCTCATAAACTCAGGTAAATGCTCAAGTGATTCATCTTCCCCAATGATTTGAGATTGATACTTTTTATGCTCATTCATCCAATTTCTCCATGCTATGATATCTTGATCATGATTACCTCGGATGACGGTGAAGTTTGATTCACGAGCAAATCGGATGGTTTGGAGTGATGAATCGATAGATGGATGTTTAGCTGCTAAATCTCCAAGTAAAAAAACTTGATCTGTTGTAGAATTGTAATCTATTCTACGAAGTAATTTCCTAAAAAAAAATACCAAAATCGAGAATATCAACAAACAAACTACTTCTTTTTTGAGGAAAGTGGTTTAATGATTTGAACATCATCTTGGTTTCTTACTTTAGCGAATGAACCATGCCATGAATATCGCCCACGACTATAAGTCGAGTAGAATTAGTTGGAGTCCAATCCAGTTCACGATGCCAAACATACTATTAACCAAAATTGTATAAAAGGTATGAGGATGAGTTAAGATGATTGATGGTAATGAGTAGAATGGATCCTAACCTGATCCCAATCCTGATGAGTAGTAAAGAATGATTGATCAGTAATATAATAAACCCAAGCGATTGAAGAAGCCAGAAGTGCTAATAATCCGACCCGAATCAGAGATCGAGAAGAAGGTGTAGGTTGAGAGGTTTGATGATGATGATGATGATTTGAAGGATGAGTAAAAGGTAACTTCATGATGATGGTGATGGTGATAATGAATGATAAGATTGATTGTAAATTGAAATGAAAGCAGGAAACGAAAGAGGGTCGATGAAACTGAAAGTGAATTTAAATGAAATCTAATCGAGATAAGAAACTAAAACGAGAATCTCCAAATCGATTTTACATTTCACTCACTTTATCGCACCCCAACCGAAGTGAAGTTCTCAAACACAATTCAACTCAACTCAACTCAACTCCGCTCAACTCAGCTCAACTCAGCTCAATCAAATAAGTAAATCCCCACAAAACATGAAAGCTATGCTAAACCATGATTTGACAATCGAATCCTAAATATCTTCAAATCAAACCAACTCATCCAATCAATCAATCAACTCATCCCCACTCGCTCCATCGTTCCGTGAGTGCGAGTCGTCATCAAGTGTTTCGAACTCCATAAAAAAGCCGTACGAATCACAAACAAAGTCTTGGATTTTCTTACATACTGTCATGTGAAGATGAGATAAACTGGGTACCGATCATAGATCCACAACACTGCTTCAAGTACATACCAAGAAGAAAAAGAACTGACATTTATATTCAGGAGAGAGGCTATGACTTTGGTTGGCTAGAGTCTGAGATGACTGTGCCGTAGTCGTGCTAGTCATGTGATCGCAAAAGCTTGCACCGTACTCTTGAGCTCACTTCATCAGCTTGAGCTAACCATATGATGATTGATCCTACAAGAAACCATTTCTTCTATCCAAACCAACTTTCATATCTTCATACCTCATTGTGAATAATTGTAAACAAAAAGAAAAGAAAATCCAAAAGTGTAAAACAGAAAAACCCACAAATCCTATTAAAACCCAAATCCAATTCTCTTAAAATTGTACTTTACATCAGTGTACAATAAAAGAATTCATAACAAAAGGATTTCCATACCCATGCAATTTTTTTTGATCATTTCATACCCATTCCCTTCAAGTTCCAATTCTATCCAAGAAAAAACAAAAAACAAAAAACACAACAATAACAACAAGGTATAATCAAAGAACCCTAATCAAAGAAACCCTCCTAATTATAGATCCGAAATCCCAAAAATCCCAGAACCCTCAATTCTATTCTTCATACAAATATTCCAATTCACCAAGCCATTCCAACCAAAGAAACCCTTTTCTTCTGATCTTCATCAAGAATCATGAATCAATAGTCAATAGTCAAGACTGGGTAAAGATTGAATCAAAAAAGAAAAAAAGAAATCATTCCAAATTTCCAATCTCAATCAATCCAAAACTAGCTCTCAAAGATCTAATCTCAGGCCCTTCATTCTTCAAATCCAATAACCCATCATGATCTCCTTCTTCCCTTTCCCTTTCCCTATCCCCTTCTTCCCTATCCCCATCTCCCCTACCCCCTTCTCCCCTACCCCCTTCTCCCCTACCCCCATCCCTTTCTCGTCCTTCTTCTTGATGATCTTGACGTGCTTTAGAATTAGATTGTGTAAAATAAGTTCCAATAGAAGACCTTCTAACTTTCTTCTTCGATGACTTTTTCAATGAGTTCTGTAACTCATTAATTATAAACAATTCTAATTTCTTGGCTTTCTATATTAAACCAATCCATCACCATGTCCCCCCGCAAAAAAAAAAATCAAGTCAGCTTCTTGCTTTTGTTTGGTTTTTTGATTTTTGATTTTTCGATTATTTTTTATAAAAGAGAAAATTTCAACAAACCAATTGAGAAGCTTCAAGTAACTTCACCATCTCCTCACCAAACCTTTTCCTCTCCAAATTCTCCACACACAACTCTCTCAACCGATCTTCATACCTTTTCCTAATCCTAACTTCATAATCCTGATCCATACCATTCCCATTCCCCATATCAGTTTGGATTTCTTCAAATCCATTCAACGAATTCGAAATAATTAATCTCAATTCATTCAATTCCATCAAATCGATTTCTTTCAACTTTTTAGTACTAGTCCTCAAAGATCCATGCCTGGATTCCATCCGATCCGTTTTCCAAACGTTTTGACTGTGATTATGATTCTTATCTTCCTACTCCAAATCCAACCAAAAGAAACCCATTTGTCAACAAATCCCAAACCACCCCAAAAGAAAAAGAAAAAAACCAAACAAACTTCAAGTTGATCTTCCCCATCCTCTTCCTCATCTTCTTCTTCCGCATCCTCATCTCGATTACCTCCTTTAACAGGACTAACCGGTCTAGCCCAACAACTTTCTCTTCTCCTCTTCAAATTCGATTCATCAAGATTTCCAGCATTCAAAACGATGGATTGTAACTTTTCCAATCTTTCCAACATCTCTTTCCTTTCTTCCATAACCTATGCATATATAACACCCAACCACCCCCCACGGGAGAAAAAAAAAAGTTCGAATCAGTACCAAAGATCAGATCAAAAATTTAAATGATCTGCTCAACTTCTTGTGTTGGTTCTGGTTCAGTTGTGGTTGTGGTTGGGTTAGGTAAAACCAAAGAAGAAGCTTGCATAGCTTGATTAAGTTGAGTTTGTAAATCGACAATCTATTCCCAAAAAACCATCAACAAAAAGAACCAATTCTTAAACCAAAACCGAATATCCTCACGAACCTGTTGTCTATACCTAGTAATCAAAGCTCTTTCACTCAGAATCTCATGAACCTTAGCCTGAACCGTAACCTTCTTAACCCTTCTAGCAAACCTAAGCGTACTCTTGGATTCTTCCAACCCATTCCCTACTCCGACTCCATTCCCTACTCCATTTCCATAATTCAAAGTAGGATTAATCGTACAAATCACACATACTTTTGAATCTCCTTTTAAGGCTGGTTGTAAGATTTGAGTCAGTTTCGAGTCTCGGAATGGAACGTGTTGAGGGATTGGTTTGGATGGGGTTGAGGATAGGTTTGGTGTATCGGGTGATAAGGCTCCAATGACTTTTTCTAATGTGAGTAAACTTAAGTACAGAAAAAAACCAATCAAATTCAATAATCTTTCTTCTGAAACAATATCATCCAAAGTGTTATGAAACTTGAACAGATCAAAGAAAAATACCTTTTATTAATAAATCCACCTTCAGTTCTTCTACTCCCATCACTAGTAGCCCGTTCACTCCCAGCCAAATCAATCAAAGAAACCTTACTTCTCCTAACCGAGCCATCACTCCCAGCTCCTGCAAGAAACCTCTGAGTCTTCCTACTCTCAACGACCACCGAAAAGATCGTATGAGACCTCGAAGATCTTTGATTGAAATCTGTACCTGACACATGTCGTGCCAGATTACCTCGTTTCAAAACATCTTCTACTTGTTCTATTGTGCTTACTACTTCTTCTCGAATAGGATTTGGGAAAAAGTGTTTTGTGGATGGGTCTTGTCTGATTTTGATCATCGGTTTGGGGTCTTTGATCGGGATTAATAGGTCTATGATTTGTTCATTGTAGATTTCTAAATACGATGCTCTTAGTAAAAAATCTCGATGTGGATGCTACACAAACAGAACCAGTTCATCAGAGAAATTTTAAAAAGGCTTTCGCTTTTATAGATTGAAGGAAGATGAGATGTACAGATCTGATGAATTCAAAGATATCTGAAACCGCTAAAGGAATCAAACCAGGCTGAGAAGTCGAGCCGCTAAGCGTAAACGTTTTACCCGAAGCCGTTTGTCCATAAGCAAAGACCGTAGCATCATATCCCATCATACTTGAACTATTCAATCAAACACATCCAAAAAAATCAATTTCTTTGGGTGGGAAAGAGTCGTGTGGTTTGATGGCTTACTGAATCAATTCTTTTGTACCTGATGATCTGTAGACTTCTTCGTTACTACAATCTGGTCCGAACACAGCATCTAAACCGACCATCCAAAATTGGATCATCCATTAATCTTTAGAAAATGAAATGGAATTGGGTTTAAGAGATTTACCAAAAGTAGAATCATGATTAGGACCTGATGAATTAGTTTCCCATATCTGAGCATCAGCTTCACTAAAACTCCAAACCGATCTTGACGGTTGATCAATGTACCTTAACCTAATAGCCACCAAAACATTCTGATGACCCGAACTAGGGTTCAGGTCATCTTCATCTGTTTCCCCCTCATCATCATAATGAATTAAAGAAGGTCTGGTGTTAGATGAAGAAGATGGTTGGTAAGATGGTGAAAAGATCGGTTGCGAATGTGATGAGTTCACATGGATCGGATTCGGTGCGCCTGGTAAGATTGGCTTTTTTCGGGGAATCGCTTCGGGAGTTAGTCTTGCTTTGGGTTTGATGGAATCGGATTGGAGTAAGATTAGTTGTGGATTGATGCTTTGTCTGATTGGAGTATGGGTGGATTTGATTGGAGTGCTTGGATTGATGCTTTGTCTGATTGGGGTGTTTGGATTGATACTTTGTCTGATGGGAGTATATGATTTGACTGGAGTGTTGTATGCTTTGATCGGGGTATTGTTTGCTTTGACTGGAGTGTATGATTTGATTGGGGTATTGTTTGATTTGATAGGAGTGTTATTTGGAGTGAATGAATGATAAGAATGTTTTTTAATAGGAGTGAATGGAGTACGTGGTGATGAATGAATGATAAGTTGAGGTTGAGTTGCATTAGCTGATGCGATGGGTCTATCATCTGCTGTGTTAGTAGTAGTTGATTGATGAATTGGTTTAGGTTCGAATTCAGATAAATCGATCGATCGATGACTGCAGTTTCGATTTGATTGTTGAACTTCAAGTTGATTTTCATTTGCTGAATTCATTTTGATTGGATTGAATGTTGTTTTTTCATTTTACTATGATCTTTGACTTTGAATATCAGTGAGTGATTTGATGGGGATCGCTTAATTCGAATTTCAAATATCCTCTTCATCACTCGTTAATCCGTTGGACGCGTTATGTATTTCAAAGCGGGGGCGCGCCTGGGAGGGGTCCGGCCCGCCCGTTTTTGGCTGGGGGCGCAAGAGCCGCAAAGCAAAACAAGAAAATCTCATTCAAGTTGACAAAGATCAACAATCCTTATAGAAGATATAAAACTCAATAAAATCATGTATGTAAAACTGAATCAATTTAACATCATCTTTTTTCTCTGGTGTCATTATGGATATTGAGGATTAGGAAAAATCTGGACCAACTGAATCCACTTGGTCACAGTTAGTTGTAGTGGAAATATATGTTTAAATGATTTTCACTCTGTGCTTTAGAGCATCCACTATGGTTGTGTTGATGACATGATTTAGCATCAGTTTAATCCTAAAAGAGAAAGACAGGTCCACTATGGACCTGTGTTGGACCTGTGGTCCATATTACCACGTCAAATCTTACACCCACCACGCTCAAATCTACAAACATCTACAACTTGATTTATTGTAGGAACTATGGTAAAGCAAATGGTAAATCATGCCATAGTGGATTTCATGTGGTTACCAACTTAGGTAAAACACACATGATTGAATTTTGCAATCAGGACCAAGTGGATGCTCTTAGGGATCTGGGTATGCACACCTTTGGTGCCTTTATTTTGGTTTCTTGGTTGAAAAATGGCTGCACAATAGGCAGAAAATTGTCTTTCATATGATGGAGTACATGGGGCATGCCCGCCCCCAAATTCAAGAAGAAGATAATGCTTGGCGCATACAAAGGTGTCAAAAACGTGCTGCATCTACCATATGATGAATCAATCACTGTGTCCGGGTAGTGTTTGCTCTTTGACAAGCGCGCACAACTTCCCTTTCTGCCTCAAAGGGAGTCAGTGTGTGCTTGTTGACAAGCAAACCCTACACAGACACGGTGAATGAATTCAGAGTATCAAACTGAATTGTAAATCACTACATTTCAAAAACTTAACACCACTTTATATGTAGCTCAACCTACCAACAGATGATATATACTTAGACTGAAACACCATAACACAGGTGGGTCAGTAGTCTATGAGATGGCTTGTACAACCTGTGAAAGGTAGCTCAGGGCCCCCGGTGAAAGGTGGCACAGAGAGAGTGAGGCAACAAAACTGTACAACTGTGCAGAATAGAATGGTCATGACCCACAATTCACAAGAAGTCAAGACTTGATTCTCTCATGGCAAGCCATCTCACATCATCACACCACCAGGACTCAGTGGTTTTTCTCTCATTTCTTGCTTGAAGACAATGGACACAGCCATCCACCACAACCACTGCGGTGGAGTAAGGGTGAGTGGTGCGGGAGAAAAGTGGTTTTAGACTCTGCTAGGATCACCACTACACAGACACCATGTCCTTTTGGCAGTCGCCCGGCAATGAGAGCACATGGACTGCCATTGAGGCACAAAGGCGACTTGTGTGCGCTCGTCGACAGGCAAACACCACCCGGACATGGTGAGAGAGATTGTACTCCAGGGCACAAATCCCATGAGTGGAGCAAACCGCTGCACAATGGGCTGGGGCTTAGGTTACTCTGCTATATAACAGAGCAATAACATGTACCCAGGCAACCCTGGGCCGGTAATGCAGATGTTGCATGCTGAGCCCCTGGTACATTGCAGGATTTCCACACCACACTGTTGTGCAAATTCTAAATAAGTCTTACAGGCCACCCTGATGCACAACAAGGTGCTTGGGATCAGGACATTTTCTCTGACATTGTGGTCCGCAAAATCATGGGTTGGTTTTTTGGGCACTGTTGCACATGTTGTGTTGCACAATAGGTGGGCTGGTGTGCAACTTGGCTTACCTATATTCACATGTTGCAGTGCTTGGAGTAATGTAACACAGTTTGCGGCCAGTATGCTATGTGTTGTGGAGCAACACAGCCGCAAATGCCCTTCTTGTGCCGTGCTGTGTTGCAGGCATAGGGTTGACCCAGGGTATTGTACACTACTACATAGTACCTTCACCCCTCTTCTCACCATTTGTCATATGAACCATAGTACTAGCTTCAAATGGGATCCTACACAACTCTTCTCACAATCAGATCTATCCCCTAGACAGTATCTCAACACTGGCCAGCCTTGTACCAGATGTATCCAAGAGAGAATTTTCAGGTATGTATAGTCCCTAGTGTCAAGAAGCTCAAAATGTTGGAGCAGCAAGTTTTTCTCTGAACAAATTGATGTCAAGCCTCAAACCTCATCCAATTTGGGATCCAAGGGTATTATTAGATTTCTTGCATTAATGGAAATCCAGATATCTTGTTGAAAATTGAATATTTCAACTTATTTTTGACTACTTGGTTTCCACAGCACAAGAAATTCTTCTCTTGAAGTGGGGTTCTTTGTAGATACCTGGTCCAACATTTCACACTTTCTCAGCACTGTCAACCACACATTATTTCTCTCTCATTGATCTCATCTGAACAAACATTTCATTTCAATCATTGATCTCATGTCAAAGGATTGATCTGTCAAAGGATTGGTCAATCCTTTGATTTCATTCAATTCATTGATTTCCCTCACTTCTCACACCAGGATCCTGTTTTATGCAGTAAGTCCCTTGCTGGGGCTTGGGCCTTTGGCAAGGGACTTTGTTAAGTTTTCTCTGACCTGCAATTTCAACAATTCAAAGTTTCAAGCCACAACAGCCTGTATCAAACCCAAAATGAATCACAATGCAGATCAAGAGTTTGGTTTTGACCAAATTTCCTACAACTATGACAATCCACCACATGCAACACGTCTTGGGAATTTCATCTATCTTGCAGATTTGTCTCTTCCCTCTTTGAAGATAACACCAGTTATGCCTAGCAAAGAGTCTTTACTCCACCATCTTGAGTGTGGTGCAGCACCTAAAAGAGAAAAACTCGGAGAGGTCTAAAGAGCTTTCTGCTCACCAAGCACCTGGTGAAATGCTCTCACTGGATGACCTTGACTGGCTTGACTTTGCAGGAAATCTAGTCTCTGAGCAACTTCTTGTCAATAAACTTAAAACTTTAGCTGAAAACTCTTGTTATGAGCCTACAAGACTATGCTTATACTGAGTTACTGGATAGTTCTTCAATATCCACGTTCACTATTGTACTAGTTCTTCACGTTGCAATCTATACACTAAGCAGCAACACCCTTGACTCTATCCTGGCACGTCTTTTACATATTGCAACGTCTAATCACCTATAGGATACGGTCAAAAAGAAGCAAGAAGAAAAGAAGTTCAAAAACGAAGAAATCGAACAAAAGAAACCGGTAAAATTGATTAGGATCAAATCTATAAGCAAGGTTGGAAAATCTCAAAGTTAAAATAAATTTAAAGTTAGAAATCATAAAAGTTCGAACAAGGAAGAAGATCAAAATAGTACGGAAATTAAGATTTAAGAAGTGAAAGTTAAAATTAGAAGTAGAAGAATAAACTGTAGTGGTATTACTTAGATCTCACCCTCGTAACTCCGCAATCTAGTCAACACGCCGGAATTCTCAGTACCCACAAGCCCAACTAATTCGGATTCAACTGAATCGAAGTCTAATCGACACAAGATCTCAGAAGCACAAACTGAATTAGATATGGATGAAATATTGAAACAACTTGCAGATTTGAATACGAGACTTTCCGAAGAGACGAGACTTTGACAACAAGAAACAACTCTCCGCCAGCAAGCTGAACTTCGAATACAGCAGCTGGAGCAGGACAAGCTGTCGGCCCAAACTCAACAAGTGCCGATGAGTGGCATTGATGTTCTTCCATCACAAGCCCAAGCTCCGACTCAGATCCCTGTCGTAACGCAATCAGTAAGACCACTGAAGGTGGCAACACCTGATAAATTTGATGGTTCGAAAGGCCAGAAGGCCGAGATCTTTTTGAACCAACTAGGCCTGTATATGAGGCTAAACGGCAATCAGTTCGCGGATGAACAATCCAGAGTTGTGTTTGCTCTCTCGTACACCACCGGCAAAGCCAGTATTTGGGGTCAAAGCATCATAGACCAAGTCCTTAACAGTGAAACCGCTCACCTGGTCACTTGGGACAAATTCGTCGATTCCTTTAAAGCAACCTTCTTCGACACCGAGCGTATTGCGAAGGCTGAGAAGGAGTTGAGAGCTCTCAAGCAAACCAGAACTGTTTCCGATTACTGGATCAAGTTCTCTGAGCTCTCGTTAGTTGTCAAATGGCCTCAACAAATCCTAGTCTCTCAATTCAAACAAGGATTGAAAACCGAAGTCTCGATTTATATGATAAGAGAAACTTTCACTGAAGTCGACGAGATGGCCAAGTTTGCAATAAAACTTGACAACAAAATTCACAAGCGATCGACAGAGACTAGTCAGAGTTCGGCAATGACCCAAGCCACTCCTGTGCATGATCCCGATGCCATGGACTGTTCGGCGTATCGATTGGACATATCAGCTGAGGAGTATAAAAGACGAGGTGCAGATAGAGCGTGTTATAGCTGTGGAAGGAAAGATCACATGATAGCGCAATGCCCGACATCTAAAAGAAGAAGAGGAGGTTATTTTTCAAAATTTAATGATGCTGAGAAACGTATTAATGCTAGATTAGCTGAATAAGATAGCAAGATAGAAAACTCAAATGTCAGTAGTGAAGTTAGTAGAGCAGACAAGTCAAAAAATGGAGATGCTCGGGAGTGATGGTTGTGCCTCACCCGAGCAAGTTGGAGATAGGAGTTGAAAAGGGCGATCTCAGTAGTCTTGAAATGCATGATAATCGAATTATTACCATGATCCAACTCTACGACCCTTCCAAAGACACAACCATTAACGCGCGAGCCCTCATTGACAGCGGGGCTACGCATGAAGCTGTAAGTTCGGACTTTGTGAGCAACAACGGACTTAGCAGTT